GCAGAACCACACACACACACGAGAGCCCATCCCCCATCGAATCCACGCACACAGAGGACGGCACACGACAACATGAAACCCACACCATGGAGGCGGCCAGAGAGGTTGTTGAGTGGGTGAGTAGTTCAGTATGATCCAGAAACACTCGGCGGATCGCGACTAGGAGTGCAACTCTTCAAACGGCTCTATATGTCCGATCTGATATGAGCAGACGCAAAGAAGTACACAAGAATGGCTTGACATCACGTGTGCTTTTCATCCATGCGTGTGATGTGCCAGGGATGAAGTAGTCACGGTGTTGGTTCAAGGCTCCAGCCAGCACCCTTCTCAAGGCGGAGGGATCGACCGGTGATTCCCGACAGTAAGCTGAAGAATCTACTCGAAGGTGACTTCTCTCATTGGCAGGGCACGTTAATGATAAGGTACATAAGTACATCATTCCTCATGCAAGCATCTATCTCTTGCATTCTCTCCCTCTTAGGGTGTGCTGCACTTCTATTACCAAAGGGAGACACGAAGATGCGAAGGCGGTCAGACTCTTTACTTGTGCGTGCCGCATGACTTAGAGCTCTGAGGGAGGTAGCTGGCGTGATTGCTGCCTTGGCGCAAGAAGATACTTCATTACACAACAAACAGGCGACTGAAATAATAATCGACGACGTGACACTGACATTGCAAGTGCTGCCAAACATCGATTAGCCATGCGTTTACATACTTGTGAGTTGCAATGAGGATTTTAGTGAGTGTTGGCCAATCGAATACCTGTGTGCCTTGCTTTGCTCATGGCGGGTGTGCACCAGAAAATACCAAAGATAAAGACTCTACGCATCTTCGGAAGGTGGGTAAAAGGCTGAATTGGCTTGTAACAGGTCATAACATCAATCTTCGCTGGTTTAATCCAGATTGGCGGTCGTTAACATACCTGCAGATGCACGCGCCGACCCTTGCAAAAAGGAAGAATGCCTGTACGAAAACAATTCCACCCGACACCGAGACGGATCAACGTGAGAGATATGAGCATAAGAAAGGCTTCCGCCTTCAACACAGGAGAACCGAGGCCAGATGGTCCTCGAGTCCTTTTTCATGCATACCGAAGTATTGACATCTCCCTACTATTGCAACGGCTGCTTTACCGCCAGCTACGGAAGGAAAGTGGCTGCACACATAAATTGTTCAGTACTGTCTTTTCTACTGTTCTACCATAGAGCGCCACTCCATGCATGAATGAGGCTTCGGCCTTTACCTGCCTCACTGCAAATCCACTGATTCTTACACTACGAACATGTACACAGACAGAGGTACCTGTATAGCAGGATGAGTAAGGCTATGCATCTTCCTCATCTTCATCGTCCTCCCCACCCTCATCCTCAGCATACTGGTGTACGCGAATACATGAAGAGCCAACTGCAAGAAAAAGTGCTGTTGCGACGAACAGACCCACGGCAGACACGAACACATACATGAACCATTGGGCGCTGATTGTATTGACTTCTGTGATGTCGTAGTACGCCATGATAATGAAGGTACACATAGCCAGGCCGATCTGCATGGTTTGAAGCTCCAAGAAAGCCGATACAATGCGACGACGTAGGAGCTGCCTCTTGGAGCTTGCTTGCTTTCTCTCCGTTGCCTTGTCATCGGAAGGGATATCCTTGATGACACCCCCAAAGTCATCGCGGTGTTCTCTCAGGTAGGGGCCGAATCCGCTTTTTCGCAATGACTCGTAGCCGCTTTCGACGAGGCCCGAGAAGGGTCGTCTTCGTCTTCACTCTGGAGGACCTGATGCCAAGGGATCCCTTCTTCTCCCAAAGTCTGTCTACAGCTTGGCCCATTGTCCGAATCAATGGCATGCTGAGGCGCTCCTTGGTCAATACTGCCCGACACTCCCTCAACGAATGAAGGCTCGGTGGAATCGTAATGGAATCGTGTCCCGACCCTAGCGGGGAAGCTCCAACTCAGAGCTGTCCGGCGGTGTCGCCCAATGGAAAAGCTTCGAGGTCACCCTATAGTTTACGGGTTCGGAGAAGCGCCGAAACGGCGCGACTGCAATCGCAGCAGGCTTGATTTCGCCAACCTATGAAGCTTCAAGGTCATCCAGCCGGTTGGGCATTCAGGGGGGCAGCTGTTCACTCAAGTCTCAGTAGCCATACAGCCTCGCGAGTATCGCCTGCAGATACACGCAACATACATGAAAATAGACAGCGCGTATAGTACGGCCGACGGTCCCACAGAGGTCTAGGATGGGCAGACAGCCTACATATATGTACTTTGCACTGAGAAGTGACGCTATTTGACTGACGAGGCGAGCAGGCAGAACCATGCACAGCAAAGAATTCAATATGCACGCACCGAAGTTCTTCCTCTCATAGACAGGCACGACGCAAGGAGCCGGGCAAGCAAGCGAACACTCGAGTTGGAGCCGGTGAGGTCCACCTTTGGTCCTCACTGGGAAAGAGGGAAAGAGGGGTGCCAGCCCCTGAAGAGGCGCTCAGCGCCTGTGTAAAGTAGAATAGATCGCCGGCCTCCGTTTCGTCCTCTCGCTGCGGAGACATTTGGCCGC